ACAAGGAGCGAAGGGAGACAGTGAGTGAGCGAGTGAGCGGCGACACATGCCCAAGATGTCCTGGCACATGTTTTTGTATTCGCTGCTGCTCCTTCTCTGCGTGCTGTTGGTGTGCTGCGGCGGTACGGCTGTGCACGCCGAGGAGGGAAATACGCCAAAGGAAGCGCAAACACCAGAGGTTGTTGATCTTTTCGTGCTGCACCGAACGATTGTGGAAACACAAGGCCAAAGTCAAACGAGGGAATCTTTTCTCTTCCCTTCCCTCGCCAATGTTCGCGGAGTTTTGGTTACGCTGCCAAGAGCCGGGCCAGGCCCGTATACCCCGATAAGGGAATTACTACTGTGGTTTATGCTGATATTGTGGCGGGGTACGTTGACCCTGCGGAGAGCTGGTCGTCTTTTGTCGCTAAGGTCCGTGCAAACAAATGGAAGGCGTACAACATCTTTAACACGACCACGCAGGAGGAGCATAACGACCGTGTGACATACGCGGTCCGAGCCACAACAATAGCAAAGGGCAACGAGGTCTTTCTACTTGTGGGAAGCTATCATCAGAAGTATGATCCTTCATCGAAGAAGCAGATTGAATCCTCACAGAGTCTTGATTTGCTCGTGGGTGAGGCCACGCAAGATAAAGTCATTCAATGGGGCGAACCCACCTCGCTTGTACCACAGATCGAACCATCTGCTAAACAACGTGGCCTGGGCCAGTTTGTTGGTGGTGGTGGCTCGGGCGTTGTGATGGAGGATGACACGTTCGTGTTTCCTGTGACGGCGAGGAGGACAGGAGACGACGAAGCTGTCTCCATGATCATTTATTCGAAGGACGACGGCAAAAATTGGGTGCTTCCACATGGGATGCTCCCCGTGGGGTGCACTGACCCCCTCATCGTTGAGTGGGAGCAGGGGCAGCTTGTCATGGTTGCCAAATGCAATTTTCTCTCGAAGGTGTTCGAGTCGAGGGACATGGGGGCAACGTGGACGGAGCCTGTCAGGATACTCACACGCGTGCATCCCAGGGTTTTACTAGCCTCTTTGCGAACAGCTGAGAGAGTGGGGTCCCTCACCACTGCGACCATTGCTGGAAAGAAGGTCATGCTGTACACTCAGAAAGGGATTATCCGTGATGACCCGTTGCAAGCCACCGCGCTCTACCTTTGGGTCACTGACAACAACCACACGTTTCACGTCGGGCCCATTTCCATGGACACTGACACGACACCGACGTCTAACAACACCCTGCTCTATTCGAAAAATACGTTGTACTTTTTACAAGAGAGGGGCGCTTTCAGGGCAAGCAGCCCGGTTCTTGCTCCCCTAACGGAACAGCTGAAGACGATCACGTCTGTCTTGGAGACTTGGGCAAAACTGGACTCCTTCCTCTCCAACTCGTCGGTGCCCACGGCCGGTCTGGTTGGATTCTTGTCAGATGCATCGGATGATGGAACCTGGAACGACGCGTACCGTTGCTTGAATGCAACTGTGACGAATGCAAAGAAGGTCGAAGATGGCTTTGAGTTCACGGGGTCCGAATCATACGCCATGTGGCCTGTGAACATGTGGGCGCATCACTATGTGCACAGCGTTGTGAATTACGAGTTTACGCTTGTGGCGACGGTGACGATTCATAAGGTTACGAA